GCTCAGAGCACGGCAGCATCTCACTGCTCACTGCTCAGAGCACGGCAACATCTCACTGCTCACTGCTCAGAGCACGGCAGCATCTCACTGCTCACTGCTCAGAGCACGGCAACATCTCACTGCTCACTGCTCAGAGCACGGCAGCATCTCACTGCTCACTGCTCAGAGCACGGCAGCATCTCACTGCTCACTGCTCAGAGCACGGCAGCAGCTCACTGCTCAGAGCACGGCAGCATCTCACTGCTCACTGCTCAGAGCACGGCAGCATCTCACTGCTCACTGCTCAGAGCACGGCACCATCTCACTGCTCACTGCTCACTGCTCACTGCTCAGAGCACGGCAGCATCTCACTGCTCACTGCTCAGAGCACGGTAGCATGTCACTGCTCACTGCTCAGAGCACGGCAGCATCTCACTGCTCACTGCTCAATAGTACCTGGTAATATTACTCTATTCTCGCCTAAGTAAGTTTTAATATAAATTATGGATATTCATTTATATTCAAAATGGTTGAAATATGTTTATTTAATTTGCCGTTAAATTTGCCGACGCGGTATGGTCAATATTTGCTACACTCTCAGATAAATTAACTCGTCATATTGTCTTAATTATGACACAATATCAAACTCACAACACGAGCAGAGAGTGGGAGAGAAGCGCTGGTGCCCTCTTTTGCCAGGCCAAACTGAGTCAAAATGACCCACATAAATGCATAAAGTGCCTCGCTAGTTGGTACAAAATCACACTTATTTTTCTGAGATACTTTTCTCTGTGTTGTCGTCCTGTTAACAGGCCAAACTGAGTCAAAATAACCCACACGAATGCATAAAGTGTCTCGTTATTGGTGCAAATTCTCACGTATTTCTCATAGATATATAAGGTCCTTAAATTTTCTCTGTATTGTCGTGCTGTTAATTAAACTCGTAGCTGGTGTAAAGTGAATGATACATTCACTGGCATACACTAACTGTGCAGTGAAGTCCAGTCTCCATATAAACTTATTGTATTTTTGCATTTGATATAGAAATTAATACTATAACGTTTAATTATATTTGAAAGAAATTATTACTAGCATATAATTATATTCGAAAGAAATTAATACTAGCATATAATAATATTTGAAAGAAATTATTACTAGCATATTATTATATATGCTAGAAATAAATACTAGCATGTAATTATGTTTGAAAGAAATTAATACTAGCTTATGGTTATATCATAACTCCGATTGTCTTAAATATGGATGTGGAAATTTTTTCGCATCGACGCCAGAAATCGGGACCTTACATGTAGATTTGATTAGAAATTTGTTATGAAATTGAGATTATTAAACGGAAACTATCATTTGCGTTTGATTCTTTGTCAACAACTACGCACAGGGCCTTTTTACTTTACTATTTATTTAATATTCTGTAATCAAATCAATTATTATTCAATCACTTAGAGGATCATATTTCTTCGCTATATATACTGCACCTTCATGATCTGCTGCTATAGTGACATGCTCTGCTACTATAGTGACATGCTCTGCTACTATAGTGACATGCTCTGCTACTATAGTGACATGCTCTGCTGCTATAGTGACATGCTCTGCTACTATAGTGACATGCTCTGCTACTATAGTGACATGCTCTGCTACTATAGTGACATGCTCTGCTACTATAGTGACATGCTCTGCTACTATAGTGACATGCTCTGCTACTATAGTGACATGCTCTGCTACTATAGTG